TTCAGAATTGGCTGACCCTTAGAAGACAAAGGGTGGTAGTGCACAGAAAATATTCAAAATGCTGCTCGGTTACGAGTGGTGTACCACAAGGATCTGTTCTGGGTCCTCTTCTATTTGTGATTTCGTAAATGATTTGGATGAAGGAGTGGAAGGGTGGTTTAGTAAGTTCGCGGACGATACGAAGGTGGGTCGAGTTGTGGATAGTGCAGAGGGCTGCTCTAGGTTACAAAGGAACATTGATTGGGTGCAGAGCTGGGGTGAGAAGTGGCAGATGGCGTTTAACCCTGATAAGTGAGAGGTGATTCATTTTGGAAGGACAAACTTGAAAGCAGAATACAGGGTTAACTTGGCAGTGTGGAGGAGCAGTGGGATCTTGGGGTTCATGTCCACAGTTCCCTGAAAGCTGCCATGCAGGTGGATTGATTTGTTAAGAAGGCGTATGGTGTGTTAGTTTTCGTTAATAGAGGGATTGAGTTCAAGAGCCGTGAAGTTATGCTCCAGCTATACAAAATCCTGGTTCGGCCACATCTGGATTATTGTGTCCAGTTCCGGTCGTCTTATTACAGGAAAGATGTGGAAGCATTGGAAAAGGTGCAGGGGAGATTTACCAGGATGTTGCCTGGAATGGAGGGAAGGTCTTATGAGGAAAGTTTGAGACAGCTAAGGCTTTTCTCTTTAGAATGACAAAGGTTGACAGGTGACTTGATAGAGGTATACAAAATGATCAGAGGTATAGATCGAGTGGACAGCCAGAGGCTTTTTCCTAGGGTGGAGGTAGCTATTATGAGGGGGCATAGTTTTAAAGTGAGTGGAGGTAGATAAAGGGGAGACATCAGAGGTAGGCTTTTTACACAGAGAGTGGTTGGGGTGTGGAATGCATTGCCGGAGAGGGTAGTGGAGTCGGCCTCATTAGGGGCATTTAATCGGCTATTAGACAGGCATATGGATGATAGTATAAAGTGGGGGTGGAGGTTAGATAGACCTTAGGATTAGGGTAAATGTTTGGCACAACATTGTGAGCCGAAGGGCCTGTACTGTGCTGTATTGTTCTATGTCCTAACGTTAGGTTGCATGGTATCCAGGGAAAGCTAGCTAATTGGGTTAAAAATTGGCTTGATGGTTGAAGGTTGTTTCTTGGACTGGAGGCCTGTGACTTGTGGTGTGCCACAAGGGTCGGTGCTGTGACCTTTGTTGTTTGTTATTAACATAAATTTTCCGGATGTGAATGCACAAGGCATGATCAGTAAATTTGCAGATGATACAAAATTCGAAGGTATCATTGATAGTGAGGAATGTTATCAAAAATTAGAGGGATCTTGATCAGATGGGGAAGTGGGCTGAGGATTGGAAAATGCAATTCAATACAGATAAGCGTGAGATGTTGCACTTTGGAAAGTCAAACCAAAATAGGCCTTGTACAGTAAATGGTAAGATCCTGAGGAGTGTTGTGAAACAGAGGGACCGAGGAGTACAAGTACATAGTTCGTTGAAAGCAGCGTCACAGGTGGATAAGGTCCTGAAAAAGGCATTTGGCATGCGAGCCTTCATTGATTGAGGCATTGAGTATAGGACTTGGGACATTATATGACAGTTGTATAAGTCGGCGGTGAGACCACACTTGGAGTATTGTGTACAGTTTTGGTTGCCCGGTTACAGAAAAGACATAGTTCAACTGGAAAGCATTCAAAGAAGATTTACACAGGACTGGTGGGCCTGAGTTACAGGGAGAGGTTGATCAGAATAGGACTTTATTTCTTGGAACATAGGAGAATGAGGTGTGACCTTATTGAGGTGTATAAAATCATGAGGGGCATAGATATGATAAATGCATATAGTGTGTTTTGCCCAGGGATGGGGAATTGAAAACTAGAGGACATAGGTTTCAGGTGAGAGGGCAAGGATTTAAGAAGATCCTGAGGGGCAACTTCTTCATGCAGAGAATGGTGGAAGTGTGGAATAGGCTGCCAGAGAAAGTGGTTGAGGCAGGTACAATAGCAACATCTAATAAAACATTTGAATAGGTACATGGATGGGAGGAGTTTAGAGGGAGATGGACCAAATGCGGGCAATTGGAACTCGCTGAGTGGGCACCATGGTCAGCATGAACCAGTTTGAGTTCAAGAGCCTTTGTCCATACTGTATTACTGTGTGACTCTATGACCTTAAACTACAATGGGACCTTGACCAAAAGGACCAATGGGCCAGGGAGTGGCAGCTGCAGCTTAATCTTGAAAAATGTGAGGTGCTACAAGTTGTGAGGGAAAATCAGGGCAGGACATGCACACGTAATGGTAAGCTCCAGGGAAGTGTTGCCAAACCAAGAGGCCTTGGAGTGCAAGTTCATAGCTCCTTCAAAGTGGAATTATAGGTGGACAGGGCAGTGAGGAAGATGTTTGATTGGTCAGTGCATTGAGTGTATAGATTGGGAGGTCATGTGGCTGCACAAAACATAGGTTAGGCCACTTTTGGAATACTGCATTCAATTCTGGTCTCGCCTTGCTATATGAAAGATGTTGTTAAACTTGAAACGGTTTAGAAATGGTTTACAAGGATGTTACTGTGGGTGGAGAGTTTGAGCTGTCGGGAGAGATTGAATAGGCAGTTCTTTATTTTTCCTGAATCAGCAGTTTTATATTTCCTTGGTGTGTTGGAGGCTGAGTGGAGACCTTAACGATATTTATAAAATTATGAGGGGTGTGGATAAGGTGAGCAATCAAGATCTTCTCCCCAGGGGAGAAGAATCCAAAACTAGAGGACGTGGGTTTAAGGTGAGAGGAGAAAGATTTAAAAGGAATTGAAGGGGCAACGTTGACACACACCGAGTGGTGTGTTTATGGATTGAATGCCATGAGAAGTGGCAGAGGCTGATAAAACTACAACATTTAAAAGGCTTCTTGATGAGTATATGAAAAGGAAGGGGTTAAGAGGGATATGTACCTAATGCTAGCAAGTGGGACTAGATTAATCTAGGATATCTGGTTGCCATGGACGAGGTGGACCCGAGGGTCTGTTAACATGTTGGACATCTCTATGACTGTATGACAGGAACAGATTGTGAGAGAATTATAATCTTTCACACTGCATAAACAGACAGACCTATAACTGCATTCCCATTTTCACGTGGCAGAGATTGACAGATATTCGGCAAAGTGTCCCTCAGTAAACCTGAATGTCTTAACAGTACAATGTTGCTCACAGCGTAATAAGGAAATCTCAGACAGTGATGAAACAAAATAATATTTTACACACAAAAGATTGTCATGAGCAGAATAAAACACATTGTCACAATTAAAATCTCACAGGTACTGTGTTCAAAATATCATTAAATGACAATAATCAGTTCAATTTAGAGTGAGCTCGGAGTTTGATCCCTGTATAAAATTTTGGTTTGCGTTTCACATTTCGTTGCAGATCCTGACAGATCCTCATTGTGTCCCACACTAACCATTCGGAGAGACACTAAATGTCATGTATTGTTGTAAACTACCCAATCAGGAACAAGGCTTTCCCCCATCCTTCATTAGCATTGCTGACGCCGTCAGGCTATAAAAAGCGAGCTCCGAGCCTTCCTTTTTTCTGTGTCTGAAGGTGGCCGTCACGATGGCTGATGAGAAGAAATCGCAGCCAACTTCCAAGAAGGGCGCGAAGAAAATCATCAAGAAGGCGCCGGGGAAAGGCAGCAAGAAAAGGAAACGATCCAGGAAAGAAAGTTACTCCATCTACATTTACAAAGTGATGAAGCAGGTTCACCCCGACACCGGCATCTCCTCCAAGGCCATGAGCATCATGAACTCGTTCGTCAACGACATTTTCGAGCGCATCGCGGGGGAGGCTTCCCGCCTGGCCCATTACAATAAGCGCAGCACCATCAGCTCCCGGGAGATCCAGACCGCCGTGCGGTTGCTACTGCCCGGGGAGTTGGCCAAGCACGCCGTGTCGGAGGGTACAAAGGCGGTGACCAAGTATACCAGCTCCAAGTGAGACACCACAGTGTGCTGACAAAAACACACATCCAAAACCCAAAGGCTCTTTTAAGGGCCACCCACAATTCACTGAAGCAGCTGAACCATTTTAAGTTTGTAATTGATTTTGGGTCTGTATAATTTAATGTCTCTAAGCTTTGTGTTTCTTTTTATAAACGTTCTAAAGATTAACGTGTGGTCCCTGACTCTCGGTTGCGGACATACCCAGTCTCTTTCCTTTGCCTGGATATTTATCGCCAAAGTCATTTTTCAGCAACTTCTATATGTTCCAGTTACTCTTTAACCCTTGATCAGGGCAGCAGCTACAGTGCCCCCTGGGGTATGATACTTGAGTTTCACTCTCGGGGGAACCAAGCTAACTGTTCGAGTCTCATGAATAGATTTTGCAGTTTACTCTTTTTTTTTTCAATTTTCAAAACTCCATGGAGGCTTGGTCTGATTGTTTTGCAGAATACTGTAAATGAGGCTTTCAGCTGTCGGTGAGACGCTTTCAAAATGAACGGAGATAAAACCAGATTAGCTGTCGGATTGCGATACCAAGTGTGAAACTGTGGCTGAAGTCTGATCAAGGATAAGAAGGGAGGGCAACTTCAAACTGTTGTTTAAAGATTTAACGCGCTCACCCGGAACAACGTTATTTGTGGTTTTATAAGTATATCAGGGTGCACTTGTAATGTGAAAGTGAATTAAATTCAAAGAAAAATTAAATTATTCATTCCACTTTGCAAAACTTTTCCCTATTTCGTACATGTTGGAGGTTTTTCAAACTTGTCCCGGTGAGGTAGGAAGCCTGAATATCTCCCGTGGCAACAAAATAAAAAATGACGGTGCGATTTCTGTGTTGTTAAGATTTCCAAATCTCTATGTGCATTTGTCCGATTTTTTGTTTCAGAATGCAGAATGTGGGACTTTCTGCTGTCGCGCAGAGGCTTTCAAAATGAACCGAGATAGTCGGAAAAGTCTGATCCAGCACAATAAGTGAGGGCCACTTTCAAAATTGTCTGAAGACGGTGCTGCTTAGGGAGTAAGAACGAGAGATTGTGTGAAGTGCGCATTTGTAATGTGAAAGGAAATTAAATCGTAAGCATTTATGCACTATTCTTTGTAAAACGTCTTCCTCGTATTGTCCATATTGGCGGGCTTTTCAAATCGGAAAGAAAACGTACTGGCATCGCAAATGTGGAAATATATTGTTGATCTAGTGCAATAGGGAGGGTGATTGTGAAATATTGTTTAAAGCAGTACTGCACTCACCCAGAAAGAAATAGTGGTGTGATACTTTTATTGATATATCCGGGTGCTGATGAGAATTAAAATTAATTTTCAGCGGGTTCTTTCTTTTTGCTTCCGCTTATTCTTAAGGTACAGGGAAATAAAAACAGCAAGATCAGAAATAGACAGATTCAACTAGGCCAGGGAACAAGACAGAGATTGTGTGAAGTATGCAGGTGTATTCTAAAAGTAAATTATCTGAAGTAAGAACGCATTCTTTGTAAAACTGTTTTATACATTTTGGCGGGCTTTTCAAATCAGAAAGAAAGCGGTTGATGATTTGGCGCCGGTATTTTCCGGCCTCCTCCCCGGGCCCCCTCCGGATTGGTGAGTGAAGCAGATATCTGATTGGGAATTGAAACTACATTCGGTGGTGCTGATCAATATGACCAATCAGCAATGGCCGCACCCCCATTCCTCCCGAAGGTATAAGAGGGTGGAATGTGGGCACATTGCATCATTCACTGTGAAAGTGTTTTTGAGATTGTGGCTATGTCTGGGAGAGGAAAAGGCACTGGTGGGAAAGCTCGTTCCAAGGCGAAGTCCCGGTCGTCCCGGGCTGGCCTGCAGTTCCCGGTGGGCCGTGTTCACAGGCTCCTGAGAAAGGGTAACTATGCTGAGCGTGTGGGTGCCGGAGCGCCGGTCTATCTGGCTGCGGTGCTCGAGTATCTAACGGCTGAAATCCTCGAGCTGGCCGGTAACGCGGCCCGGGACAACAAGAAGACCCGCATCATCCCCAGGCACCTCCAGCTGGCCGTGCGCAACGATGAGGAGCTCAACAAGCTGCTGGGAGGGGTGACCATCGCTCAGGGTGGGGTTCTGCCGAATATCCAGGCCGTGCTGCTGCCCAAGAAAACCGCCGCAGGGGGCGCCACTAAAAAGTGAAGAGACCGTTATTTCATCTGACAACCCAAAGGCTCTTTTAAGAGCCACCCACCGCGTCTGTGAAAGAAACTAGACTCTCACCACTGCCGAGTTAATTTTAATTTCCTTTGTATTACTGAGAGACCGGTAACACAATATTCACCCCGCCATTATTGTTATTGTTAATGAGCTATAATCGCCTGGATGGATTGTATCCATGCGGCAGTTTCCTGTAATTGCATTGGAAAGATCTGACACTGGTGGAGGAACACCAATAAATTTAGACATTGGGAAATAATGACCCCGGTAGCCGCAAAGCGATTCAGTACAACAAGGTGTGGAGCTGGATGAACACAGCAGGCCAAGCAGCATCGGAGGAGCAGGAAGGCTGACGTTTCGGACCTAGTCCCTTCTTCAGAAAAATCCTGCTCCTCTGATGTTGCTTGGCCTGCTGTGTTCATCCAGCTCCACACCTTGTTCTCTGATTCTCCAGCATCTGCAGTTCCTACTATCTCTGAAGCGATTCAGTATCTCTTGACATGATGTTTTCGACCAGATAAAACTATTTGCAGTACTGTACCCCCTCCGCATACGCTGCCTTTCTTCTTCTTGGGTCTCCGCTCTCAATGTAGGGTTTTGGGTGGCTCTGAAGAGAGAATGGAGGTTGTATGTTTCGCACTGAAGCTGTTGTTGAACGTGTGCTGTATTTTGTGTTGAATGTTTGATTTAAAGATTTACGATTGTTTAATTTCTTTTATTTCAACATTGGGTTTTTTGATGAATAAGCTGAAACGAGTATTTAAAACAAACTAGCATCTAATCGAAGGTTCTGGCGATTTAAGTCTAGGATTACTGATACCAATGTTCATGGACTAGAATTTAATCTAGATATGACTGTGAATTAGAGGCTTCAATATCCTTTCGCAATTTAATGTTGCACTGTTTGCAATGCTCCCTAGGTGGCACTGTATCATATCACATACAATCACGAGTAAATAGTGAATATGAGACATACACCTGCACCCAGCGGTGAGATGGCAGTGAATTAATCCACCTATGTGCTTTATTTGATTGCAATTCTCTTTTTTTTTTAATTTTATATTTTAGACAAGCGAGATTTGAAAGTCATAACAGGTTAGTATGGAATTGGAGAAACTGTTTATTTTTGGAATGAAACCAAATGAGTGGCTGATGGAGTTTACATCAGGTAAATGTGAGATGCTACTTTTTGGAAAACCAAATCAGGCCAGAACTTGCACACCTTGGTGGGGAATGTTGCTGAACAAAGAGACGTTGTAGTGCAGATTAATAGTTCCTTGAAAGTGGAGTTGCAGGTAGATGGGATAGTGAAGAAGGCGTTTGGTATGCCTGTCTGTATTGGTCAGTGCATTGAGTATGGAAGTTGGGAGGTCATGTTGCATCTTTACAGGACATCTGTTAGACCACTTTTGCAATACTGTGTGTAATTCTGGTATAACTATTGCAGTACTATACTCCCTCTTTTACGAGCCACCCACAGCATCAATGAAAAGCAGCTAGACCGTCACTAGTGACCTATTGGTTTTCTTTTTAGCACGAAGACCCGGGACTGTAACGAGACTGCTATAAATGAGGATTTTTGTATTTTTGAAGACTTGCAGAATGAGCCAAGATCAAGCTAGAACAGCTGGCTGGCTGGAATAGTAAATGTGGAGATTTTGCAGTGCGGGACAGTCACATGTAAATAATAGCTGAATGCGGTGTCCCCAATAATACACTGACAGGGAACAACATCATGGAATGCCTACATAGCAGAAAGATGCCATTGGAGTCTGAACCGACACTCCGAAGAGCATGTACCGAAGTAGACGAGAGGGAGAAGGGGAAAAGAGAGATTGTGTGTCCTAAACTTTAAAATCTTTTAAATGCTTTGGCGGGCTTTTGAAATTTACGGTTATAGCTGGGGAAACGCCGAGGTAGACAATGGGCACACAGAGGCGTTTTATCGGCAATTTATAAACTTTTGCATACATGGAGTCCAGCACTTCAATTCTATTCTATGATTACTGCTAAAATCTCAACTTATAATGTGATTGGCCCTCGTTGACTGTTGTCTTTAAATGTGAATGAGTGTATCTCCTATGCCCATTCAGTCCATGTAATTGCTGCTGCATTGACACACTGCAGCTTTAGGACGCTGTGGGTTTATGTGAAAGAAGGTAATAGCGCTGACCGCTTGCTGTCCTCTCTGCCAATCATAAATCTCCTGTATACAAGGAACCTTCAATTATGTTCTGTGATCAATTTATAACCGTTACTTGAGTTTTGTTTTGAATTAACGTGACAAATGCTTTCCTCAGCCTGATTTAATTTCTTCAATTACAGCCGAAATGACGCATTGCAATAAAAGAAAACCATGGGCGCATAGTAAAGCAACCAAGAGGGCCTACTGATTGCTGCAGTCTCTGGATGGTTTCGTGGCTCTGAAAAGAGCCGTTGTGTTTCTCGGGGATAACGTGCTGGGCCGGGCGCACTCCCCGCGGATCCGGCGGGCCAGCTGGATGTCTTTGGGCATGATGGTGACTCGCTGAGCGTGGATGGCACACAGGTTGGTGTCCTCAAACAGCCCCACCAGGTAAGCCTCGCTGGCCTCCTGCAGGGCCATCACGGCCGAGCTCTGGAAGCGCAGGTCGGTCTTGAAGTCCTGAGCGATCTCCCGCACCAGGCGCTGGAAGGGCAGTTTGCGGATCAGCAGCTCGGTGGATTTCTGGTAGCGGCGGATCTCCCGCAGAGCCACCGTGCCGGGCCTGTAGCGATGAGGTTTCTTCACGCCGCCGGTGGCCGGCGCGCTCTGGTCGCTAGCTGCTTGCGGGGAGCTTTCCCTCCGGTGGATTTGCGCGCTGTCTGCTTGGTTCTGGCCATTCTCTCCAACTCTCTGTAACACATCTTTGGTCGCCAGCTGCTTGCGGTACAGAAGCAGCAGTCGGCTCTGTTATTCGATCATGGCTGATCTGTTTCTCAAAACTGATGTGCCTTCTCCCCTGATCTTTTGAACCTTTTTCTTGTGAATACCTGTCTATCTCGGTCATAAAACCAGTACGTGTAGTTGGCTGCCCATACCATAAATATGGTAGGAGAGAAGACGGACAGGTCAAGGAGGCGGGGATGGAGTTTTGGGGGGTGGGCCAAGTGAACGATCTGTTCTGCCTGTTCTCTCTCCTGGAACGCTGGATACGAAATTAATGTCTTTTCGAAAAGGATTGGTCCAAAATTAAAAGTCGTGAAAGATGTGAAATAACCAGCTCCAGTATGCTGCACCCTCTCTTATGTGCTGCCTTCGCCGTGCTCAGGTCTACGCTCTCAATCGGAGGGTTTGGGTGGCTCTGAAAAGAGCCTTTGGCTTCGCTGGAAAAGGGTCGATTTGCTCAGCCGCCGAATCCATAGAGAGTGCGGCCCTGGCGTTTCAGAGCGTACACCACATCCATGGCAGTAACCGTCTTGCGCTTGGCGTGCTCCGTGTAGGTGACCGCATCCCTGCTCACATTCTCCAGGAAAACCTTCAGCACTCTACGGGTCTCCTCGTAGATCAAGCTCGAGATGCGCTTGACCCCACCACGGCGAGCCAGGGGCCGAATGGCTGGTTTCGTGATGCCCTAGACGTTACCACGGAGCGCTTTGCGGTGCCGCTTCGCTCCACCTTTTCCCAGGCCTTTGCGTCTTGCAAACATCACGCTTCTTCACTCCAATCGTTGCCGAATGAAAGTGGCGCTGCCTCACCCTCCTTTTTTATACAGCCCGCCCCGCCCTGACTGAGAATCAGCTGACACAGAGTGAGAGGCGGCCCGGATAGTTAACAAAGTGACAGCAGAGAAATATCCAGCTCCGCCTCCAGCTAACTCCCGCCCCCAAATGGATCTGTAATTAAACCTTTTCTCCACAAGGGCAGTGAGCATAATGCCCAGCAGAAAACCTGCAGACTCGAGTTTCACGTTCAAAGATTGTAAAAACTGGACATTTTAAAAGCAATTTATTACAATTAAGCACCCATGTCTCGGCCTTTTTTTAACAAGAAAACACGGCCGCTTCTATTT